CTTGCATGTCCGGTGCCCAAAAAGACACGCCCCAGCACCTCAGGAGACTACAGGCCTGTTGCTCTGACTTCACAGGTCATGAAGATCTTTGAGAGACTGATTCTGCAGCACCTCAAACCCCTCGTGTGTGACTCCATGGACCCTCTACAGTTTGCCTACCAGGAACACATTGGTGTAGAGGATGCTATCATCTACATGCTCCACAGAGCCTACACACAGCTGGAGAAGCCGCACAGCTCACTGAGAATTATGTTCTTCGACTTCTCCAGCGCCTTCAACACGATCCAGCCACACCTGCTAGCTGAGAAGCTGTCAGTGATGCAGGTGGATCGCAGCATGGTGGCCTGGATCACAGACTACCTCACCAGCAGACCTAGGTATGTCAGACTGCAGGGCAGCGTGTTTGATGTGCTCCTGAGCAACACCGGAGCCCCCCAAGGAACTGTGCTGTCACCTTTTCTGTTCACTCTCTACACCTCCGACTTCCGCTTCAACTCCGGCTCATGCCACCTACAGAAGTTCTCTGACGACTCCTCTATTGTCAGCTGCATCACAGATGACGATGAGGAGGAGTACAGGGCCCTGGTTAAGAACTTCGTAGGCTGGTGTGACAACAATCACCTCCAGCTCAACATCAGCAAGACTAAGGAGCTGGTGGTGGACTTCAGGCGGAGCAGCAAGAGGCCTCTGACCCCCATCACCATCAGGGGGGAGGATGTGGAGGTGGTGAACAGCTACAAGTTCCTGGGAGTGCACTTAAACCATAAACTGGACTGGTCAGACAACACCGATGCTCTCTTCAGGAAGGGACAGAGCAAGCTGTTCTTCCTGAGGAGGCTCAGGTCATTCAACGTGTGCACGAGGCTGCTGCAGATGTTCTACCAGTCTGTGGTGGCCAGTGTGCTCTTCTTTGCCATGGTGTGCTGGGGTGGAAACACAAACACTAGGGACACTGGCAGGCTGAACAAGCTCGTGAGGAAGGCTAGCTCTGTAGTGGGAGTACAACTGGATAATCTGGAGGAGGTGGCAGAGGGGAGGACGAGGAGGAAGCTCGACAGCATCCTAGAGAACCCCTCTCACCCACTCCACGCAGAACTAGTGAAGATGAGGAGCACGTTCAGCCACAGACTCATCCCTCCACGACAACGCACCAAGCGCCTCGGACAGTCCTTTGTGCCTGTAGCCATCAGGCTGCTCAATAAGGGGTTAAATATTAAAAAGAAATACAATTAAATCACTGGTCATAAATATACACTGTTTCCACAACCCATGTTAACTTGTCACTTTAACTTATTCCGCACTTTATAACTTAGATGATGACCAAATATGTATATATGCTGACAGTTATTTTGCTCTTATTTTTATTCATCTCCTATTTTCATAGTCTTTTATTATTATTATTATTATTATCATTATTTCCTTGATTTTATGTTATTTATTATTTATTTTAGATTTTATTGATCTGTGTGAATCTTTGCTGTACTGTTTTTTTCACGCTTACCCTGTTGCTGCTTTGTACAACTGAATTTCCCCTCGGGGATTAATAAAGGTTCATCTTATCTTATCTTATCTTATAATAAGTGATGAGTTCTAAGAGAACGCTTTTGCCCTACTTGAGGTCAATTCAGGGGATAGAGTACAGTACGTGCACCATTGCACCACGGCAAGTTCAGTCATATCATGCCAAAAAGACAAGTGTTTAGAGTCGGAGAGGTCCTGATAATTTATTCCGGTAAATTACTCTGACCTACTAATTGACCTTTCCGAAGTTATTGAGTCTATGTAAGGTTGCTGCTTGGCTCAGATCCACCAACGTCAGCAAGATCTCACCTCTTCCTAACCCCCCGAAGAACCAAGGTTCAATTAACTGCTGTTTCAATTCAGACAACTCTTTTTTAATCTGTTTAAGCGATCCCGAAGGATTTTGATATCAGTAAATGGAGTGTGCTCCTACCTAAGTGTGTGTGACAGGGTGCAATCGTACCTTTGACGCAGGAGAGGAGGGCACAGGTGTCTTTTAAATTATCCCAATCCAACAGGTGGGATTCAGTTTATTTGAAGAAAAATAGGTCCAAACTAATACAGGGTTTTTACCTTCTCTCTTTACAACATTATAATCATACTAAAAAAAACCCGTGCTGTGATCATGTTCAAATGAAACAACTTTAATTCACAGTCTTACATTTATTACCAAAATGTTTTAATTCCAACTGCCCATTTCAGTTGTGACATTTTAAAATTCTCCCGATAGAATTTAGAGGTATTTCCTCGTAAAAAGACCGGTGACAATAAAAAGCGCATTCAACTTTTTCATTTCACCAACTCAATTCACATCAGTTTCATACCGTTTTTTTTCCGACACAGACGGCGGATTAACACTCAAAAACCCATACCTGTCCGCAAAATTCGGGGGGCAAGATTTTCCCCACAGGTAGCGGTATTTATAATATTCATACACTTTTTCCGACACAGACGGCGGATTAACACTCAAAAACCCATACCTGTCCGCAAAATTCGGGGGGCAAGATTTTCCCCACAGGTAGCGGTATTTATAATATTCACAAACACATCTCTCATCAAATCATTCCACTCAGCCAACAACCAAGAAATTCGAGAGATATTTACCCCGTCTGGCAGAACCTTTACCGAGAGATAGTTACCCAGCTCTGAAGCACACAGCCTACCGGGAGAGAGTCTACCAGGGGAAAAACCCCCCTCTCTCTCTCTCTCAAAAAACCAGTCTCTTTATGCTAAAAAAACTGGATCGAAAACCCAAAAAACAAACTCCTCCTCTACACCCAATTTGTGAAGAACTGCGCATGCCCTGTAATGTACAAGGCTGAACATGCCTCGACATGTTCCAGAGCTTTATGACATAAGACCCACCTTCTCATGTTAGTGTGAAAAGGACATGAACTATTTTTGACCTCTGTGTTTCTCCTTAAGCCTGGAGCCCCCCTCCCTGTGTACTGCTGTCACAGGAGAGGAAGAAAACTCAACCTAAACAAACCACTTTGTTTTGTTTATACTGTAACTATAGAAAAACCTAAAATATGAATAATTTTCATTGTGGGTTATACAAGAATATAATTGATTATATTTGATTATAACTAACTTTCGTTTTTAAGTATTAAACATACTATGAAAACTCACAACACCCTCTTTTCAAAACGCAAAGTTCTCAAATAGCAACAGAAAAAATTGTAAGCATAGATACTAGGGGTGTAACGGTTCACAAACATTTCGGTTCGGTACGTACCTCGGTTTTTTGGTCACGGTTCGGTTCGGTACGTTTTCGGTACAGCAGAATTTTTTTTCACAAAACAAAACATATATATATATATTTTTTGTATTATTATTAAACTGTGAATAATGTATTCACTCAAATAAATACAACATATAATAAAATAAACATTAAGGTGCAGCATTTAGATGAACTGAAATAATCTGTATTTGAACTTTACTGTAGGCTACTAGTACTCACAAAACATAAACTATTAGTTTTGGGTTTTTTATTTTTTATTAAACTGTGAATCTTCACTCAAAAAAATACAAAATAAAATAAAATAAACATTAAGGTGCAGCTTTTCGATGTACTGAAATAATCTGTATTTGAACTGTACTGTACTAGTTCCTAAGCAGCCAGTTTGACATTAGGACTTGCTTGTCATTGTATTTTCATGTTTTTTTAAAGAAAAATGAACTTGTCCACATTGCTTGCCGAAAGGGCAGATCTGCTGGCACTAACAAAGTCTCCTGCTGTGGAGAACACCCTCTCTAGGGACAGAGGTAGCAGATACAGCCAGGTAGCGCTTTGCTAACATGGCAACATAAGGATATTTGGCGTTTGTAATAGCTTTGGCTCGGTCTGATCTTTCTGCGCGTGGTGGAGGCTTACATGCTAGTGGGAGTTGGGTTTGCACTTCAGTCTTTTTTCTTTTGGTATCGGTGATATTCACGTTCGGGTGATGCCTTTTCAAGAGTGTGCAAGTTTGGTGTATTGCCAGCCGCGTAACCAATTTTAGTTGAACAATGCCGACAAACAGCTTTGGTTTGGTCCACCTGTCTTTGTCCGTCATCCTTGTACGTAACTGCGAAACCAAAATGTTCCCAAACCGGAGACTTCAATGATGCTGGAGGATTTTCGAGCTCAACTTTATCTGCGTTCGCCATTAATTTTCGACAGTTCCTCAAATTACTGACTACATTTGAACGCATCCCTCTGACCAGCTCTCATAGTATGCCTCTCGTCCAATGAAATGACTTGCTCGCTCTATGATGCGTTGAACCCAATGTGAGCAAATTACTCTGAATGCTGCGACGCAGCACCTGAGATTACTTCCAAAAAGTTGTTCACGTTCTCAATTTTTTACGTTTAACGTTATATTCGTTCGGTACACTTCGGTACACACCTGTACCGAACCGAAGGGCCCGTACCAAATAATTTCGGTACGGGTACGTGTACCGTTACACCCCTAATAGATACATATTCAAAAACCGTCAAGAAGCATTCTCATTATGGGTTTATACAAGAATATGATTGATCATGTATGATTTATAATTAACTTTCGTTTTTAAGTATTCACTTCATACCATGATCTCAATTAACTTTCGTTTTTAAGTATTCACTTCATACCATGATCTCAATTAACTTTCGTTTTAAGTATTCACTTCATATGAAGATCTCAACACAAGGCAAACAAAGACATGCATCATTCTCTCTTTCTCACACACACACACACACACACACACACACACACACACACACACACACACACACACACACACACACACACACTTTCTTTTGACCTGAATTTGTTTGGCAGGTTGATCTGAAATTTGCTTTGTTGCCACAGAGAATACACTAACTAAACATTTGAAACCATTTTCTGAGGATGTCTATGATCCTCTTCCACTAATGATAAAGATAATTTCCTTGTAGTCACTGGAATCTTCACTGAACAGGAATCTGACCATGCAGCTGCAGTTTGCTCTGGTGCGCATGCAAAGTTCATCCCTCAAGAGTTACGTAACACATGTTTTTTGAGGACAGCCTGTGGGAGGGGAAAACTCTGCAGCCTTAAAGTGGGGAACAATTCACTCTCTGTTCTCCTTTCCTGCACACTCAAGGTAGCTGTTTAATACTTGACAATTACTGCTTATCATAGTGAATCAGAGATTGTTTTTCTATGTATGCTTCAATCATTATTGATTTGCAACCGCTTTTTGTTATCCATTGCAGGAATCAGTCATGGCTACAGAAGCAAAGCAGACTTGTTATGAAGGAAGCTGCGTCCAAAGCTTTCAGTTCTACCTAGAACACTCTGGAGAGCACGAGGCTATCATGCAGTGTGTTCACAATGTCCTGCCTGGAGAATTTCAAAGGTAGGCTACTACCATGGCTACTACACGAAAGGAGTGCTGCATTAAAAAAAAAATGTTGTTCAAAGTTTGGTATGTTTTCGTTCAAAGAGAGATAATGTTGCTTGTCATTTCATTGAGCAGCAAAGCTGGCATATTTCAACAGTAAAACAACAAATGTGTTCGTCTACATTGGTCCAAAGTCAATGTTTTTTTAGGACAAGTGCCCAATTTCTATGTCCAAACAACCCTGATAACAGTGAAGTGGGTGGGTGGCACCGCAGTGAAGTTAGTTCTAGGTTGGATATTTGACAGACACTCACCAACAGCGTGTTCTTACTATGTCTCACATCCTTGTACGAGTCACTCTTAACCACAGGGATTAATTTAGTAATCATCAATACATGTCTGTTTGAATGACACAATACCAATGTCTTTTTCAATACCTCCCTGCTAACTTAATCAATATTTTCCATCTATTGTTAGCCAATGACTTAAAAAAAAATAGGTTTTTCGTACAATTTTGTATGAATATTTTAATAAACAAATACTGCACGCAGGTTTTCATAGGTATGTAGGCTTTTGCTGCCCCAACACTTAATGTTTAGACAAATACGAATTAGAACTAGAATTTCTTAAAAGTAACAGTTCCATCTCTGATTGGAGGGATTTGTTCATTTCAATTTTTCATTTATTTACGGTTGAAATTGTGATTTACAATTGCATCCTTAAGCTGAGTGTCTCTTTTCCACCTGTCATGTATTTATGCAGAATTGGAGCAGGCAAAAGCAGTCTGGATGTTCTAGGTGTTGGAAGCGGTGGAGGTATGTGATGAATCACAGCAGCTCAGATACTAACTAGTGTGTGATCACAAAGTTCAAGAGTACAAAGGATGCATTACAGTGTGATTCAGCATCTTTATTTAACATATTTAAATAATCTTCCAAATGTACAACCTTTTCAGAATGAATTCTACTCTTTTAAGAGTTACTCCACTGTAGCAAGAAAACACTTTCTGGGCACACATCATGAGAGTTTTCTAGATGAAAGATGTTAACTCAGTCAGGCTTCTGAGGTCCTATATTAACCTCATACAGTATATTTATGTATTTGTTTTTACAGGAAAGTTGAATTAATCCCCTTTCACGTACATGGCTTTAAACTAATAATCTAAAATGTGTCTGGAATGTTACATCATATTTTTTTTTATTCAAAGCTACTGTATGTTATTAATTTTGGTGGATGATTGTTTCAAACAGAAGCAGCATGATTTAAAAGTCTAAAGACTACCTGTTTTCCTCCAGGTGAGATGGACTCCCAGATGCTGACTCTGCTGCAGTCCACATTCCCTGCTGTCCCGATCTCTGCTGACATTGTGGAGGGCAGCTCCAAACTTACTGACAACTTCAAAGGTATTAACCATTCAGAACTCAACACAATGAAAAAGTATAATTGTATCTGCTCATTACTTTCTTCTTATTCTTATTGTATGTAGTTTTTAGGTCATGGCTCACATTTTCATAAACTCTAACAAATGTGTCTGCATCTGTTTTTTAGCGTCGGTAGCAAAGATCGCTAACCTTCAGAAGATCCCCTTTGGTTGGCATATCATGCACAGTGAGGACTATGAGAAGCAAGTCAAAGCTAAAGGAGACGTGAAGAAATTTGACTTCATACACATGATTCAGGTATATGACTTTGATTCTCGGTCATTACATCTAAAAAGTTTAAATTACAAAACCATTTTCGCTTTGACTAATTTATAGCTTCTATGCTTAACATGTTATCCTCGGTTACCCCCTGAAAGGCAGGTAGACTAAAGAGTAATGTAAACTGCTGGTATATTGCCAGTGTCTCAACTATCCAATGAGATTTGTTTAGACCCCCCCTCACACTCAATTATCTCTTGCTGCTTAAATTCATCGGGGAGCAAATCAGCATAGCACTTTCTGCCAAACAAAAGTATAATGCTAGGTGCTATTAATAGTCTTACATACTGTATAAGCTTAAATTGTAAAGGTCAGTTTAAAGGTTCCCCACAACTCTGTCCTTCACAGATGATCTACTATGTTGATAACCTCGCCGGCACCATAAAGTTCTTCCAAAGCCTGCTGAAGAACAATGGCAGGCTTATGATCATCATTGAAGCAGGTAACTCAAGAAACAATTGCAATTCAATACTGCTTCTTTGTCCAACGTTTTTCATATCTGTGTCCAACCAGACATTCTTAATTTACCCTAAAGAATATCCTCTTTGTGGTTTTTTGTGTTGAGGACTTTTGAAGCTACCAGCCTTCTTGCCTAATATATGAGATCCTAAGATGACCAAGAGTATCTTTTGACAGCAACATCTATGTTTTGTTGTGTGACAATATGTTTCTTATGAAATTAATGTACTATTTATATCTCATGCTATCCAGCTAACAGTGGCTGGGACACCCTGTGGAAGACCTACAAGAAGGATCTCTGTGTCGACGTCATCACAGAGTATCGCTCTTCCGGAGAGCTTATTGCCTGCTTGAAAAGCCTTGGTCTGAAATACGATGAACACACCATTCCCAACTCCTTCGACATCGCTGAGTGCTTCACTCCGAGCAGCCAGCTTGGACAACGTCTGCTGAATTTCTTGACAGCCAAAGATCACTTCGAGCAGTCCTTCACCCCAGAGATCAGAGCAGGCATGTTGGACCTTCTCAGGAACAAGTGCAGCACTGAAAAAGATGGCAAAGTGTTGTTCAACAGTACTCTTAAATGCATTCTTGTTCATGCTTGAGTATGTCATATGGAACAAAATACAATCAAATTAACATTTTTGCATTGACTTTACCCTGCCATTTGATTAAATAAACTGGGATTTGCCTAACATTAAGTTTACCATTTAGAGTAGTTTTCAATCTCTTTAGCTTATATTTACCAAACTGACTCTGTATGTGCACCAATGTCATCAATAAAAACATTACACTAAGTAGATATTGAGTCATCACGTTCACTTCCACCTTACTGAAATAGTAGATGTATTGAATTTCTATAACATATCAAGACAGTCATCATTCGAGAATGGACAATTAGCTAAATCCAGTAGCATTACGTACATTTGACTAACCCTGGAAATATGTTACAGTAATGTTTACCCTTTTTTTAACAATGCACTAAAAACATGGAACATTTTATATTCTGTTCCCTTGAATAACATCATTATATAAAACAATACTTATTAATATCCACAATACGAGTTTGTGTTTGTCTGACAGTTGCCACAGACAGAACTGAATTTATGGAATTTCTAATATTCTCATAAAATATTAATAAGGATGATTTTATTAAATGCATCTATGATCTGAATCTGACAGCACAGCTCGGCTTTGCTTTTTTTGTATACAAATGTTATACCTCAAGAGTAACCTATTATGTTTATGAGGACAGCCAACCAGCCAATGGGAGGGGAGAGAATCCAACCCATTTTCCATATAAAAAATAACTTGCAAAACAGGAAGTAGGTGGCACGACAGTGAAGTGAGTCTTAGTTTGTCTATCAAACAGACATTCACTCTGGATCCAGTGGTGTCTTATTTCATGGTTTCACAGACTGTTGGCAGTGAAAGGAGCGTGAGCTCATATTGGAAACTAGTGAACATTTTTAGAATAGATGTCTTATATTATTTAATACATAAACTTTAATACAATTAATTAATCAAGAATTGATTTAACATTATTCAAAAATATATACTTGATCCATTTTGTATTTTTCATAGCTTCAATGTTTTTTGATCCAAATCCAAATCTATACAAGATATTATATCTAGGCTGGACAAAAAAGACACCTTTTTATTGGATTTAGTTTGTAATGAAGGTTTTATTAAGATTTTTAAGTAGCTTTTTTATTTATTTAAACGTCTTATTTATTTCCAATAGCCAATATTTCCATATAATTTGATCGATTTAATCTAAATCCATCCATTATTGTATTAGCTACACTGAACAAATACGATACGCCTCTTTTTATTGTATTTTACATAAACTTTTATACAATTAATTAATCAAGAATTGATTTAACATTATTCAAAAATATATACTTGATCCATTTTGTATTTTTCATAGCTTCAATGTTTTTTGATCCAAATCCAAATCTATACAAGATATTATATCTAGGCTGGACAAAAAAGACACCTTTTTATTGGATTTAGTTTGTAATGAAGGTTTTATTAAGATTTTTAAGTAGCTTTTTTATTTATTTAAACGTCTTATTTATTTCCAATAGCCAATATTTCCATATAATTTGATCGATTTAATCTAAATCCATCCATTATTGTATTAGCTACACTGAACAAATACGATACGCCTCTTTTTATTGTATTTTACATAAACTTTTTCTGAACAAATTGGAAGGGTTTCATAAAAAGCGCTTTCTTCTCAGTTACTTTTTTAGTGGAGAAAAAGACCAAGACCAATGACAATTCTAAGATCTAGAACATTTGAGTCATAAGTAATTACTTTAAACTGCACTTGTGAAGTAAATTAGAATATACAAAATATGCTGGGTGAATTATCATAGAAATATTCGTATTTTTCATGTATTTGTGTAACAATATTTATATGTTGTCCCCTAAAAATATAAGGTTGACTTAATTGAAATAGATGCGTGTCCTCTTTGTGTAGTATATCTGGTAAGGATTTTTACTCACTGGGTCACATGCATGAAAGGTCTTTCTAGTTTGTGATGATAGAATGAGAACTTTTAAAGTCAGAAATCTCTTCAATAAGGCAAAGGAACTGCTATGTGATCATTGGTATTACAGATATATTTATGTATTGTCATTTCAACTTTTCCCTTGCTTACAGTTTAAATTGCAAGTAACACTTATACTGTATACTTCCGCCACATTTTAATTTTCCACCTATCATTTTTGGTTGAAGAATTGAAGCAGGTAAAGCAGCCTGGAGATTCTTGGTGTCGGCAGTGGTGTCGGTATGTGATGAATTACACCAACTGGTAACTTGTATGAACACATATCCCAGTTTGTTAACAGTAAAGCTCATGTACTAACTTTTGTGTGTGTTTTTCAAGATCCACGATTGCAATAAATGGTATTATTGTGAGATTTATGTGTTTAAAGAAGCATCTTTAAAGACCAAAAGGAAAAACTGTCGGGGGGAGAATCAAATCAAATCAAGTTTTATTTATATAGCACATTTATAAAAGATTTTTGGTCGAGCCAAAGTGCTGTACATATAATAAAAATAGCCTATATAGAGACACTTTACAGCTAATACAATAGCACAGATTGTTCAGAATATCAGTATGAGAAAAAAAACGACACCCTCTATCCTTAGACCCTCACATCGTACAAGGAGAAACTTCCGGAGAAAAACCCACAGTTTAGAGCAGGGGTCGGCAACCTTTTTGATATGACGTGCCATTTTGAAATGTTCTTGTTAATCAGTGTGCACAGGGCTTGGGGGGGAATCTTTTTCATCGCACACCGGACTCTTATATCCGCATAAGCAAGGGCATAAAGGTGCGCTGCATTTGTGCATCAGATGAGGCTCCCTCCGTGAGAGGGAGTGGCGTTCAGCCCTGAGTGTGCCATATTAACTTTAATTATGACACCACTTCCATTTTTTTTGTATCTCCATCGGATTTTATTCCATCCATATAGGCAACCTACATAGCAACATTTTTAATAAACATTTTTCTCCCATAATCAGAACATTGAAATTATAAATGAGCACTATACAACAATGCTTCAGCAATAAACTTAACAAATCTTTGTATGTAATTTGTTTTAAGCCCTGTGGTAACAAATGATATGCAGTTGCTATTTCAGCATACTGCTTTCAATTAGACTCCCTCATATACAACGTTTTGCAAGGGCAGCAAATGTTAAAAAAGGGAATTAAATGTAACAAACAGAAATATGAGCACTATATAACAATGCTGCTATGCTTATGAAAATATCCACATCGAAGAAGAAAAAAGAGACCGGGACAAAGAGCTCCATTAGGCAAAACCATGTGTGCGACACATAAACAGAGTCATGTGTGCTACAAATAAACAGAGTCATGTGTGCTACAAATAAACCAGTCAATGTGATCCCTGGCCCTGCTTTCCTTTGCTGGGCTCCATTATCTGTGGATCGTACTTTGTCACTTTAAGTTGCACACAAGCTTCAGACTGGTCAGTTGTCAAACGACTGCGGTAGGGGCTGAGCACGCTCTTCATGTGCGAGAATATCTGCTCACAGAGATATGTTGAGCCAAAGACTGTCAGCAAAGCCAATGCAATTTTCCTGACACAGCTGAACTTCTCCGGTAGAGATATCCAACAGGTGAAGATGCAAAAGCTGTGATCATGTCTTGCCGTGGTTTCCAGCTGTTTCCGCAACTCCGCAAACTTCGTCATCCACAGTGTTGAACTCTTCTACTCAATCAGCTGCATTATCATGTCCTGTGTATCCAGCCAGCCTATCACAGATACATCCAGTTCATGTCCATCAAAGCTGTCGGGATTGATCAAGAAAGAGAACATGGGTCCATACTTCTGAAATTCCCCGAATCGTGTTGTAAACTCCGACTCCAGCTCGCTGATGTATTTGCATATTTCAGCTGTGCTGATGCTGTGCTGCATGGACAGCTCCATCAAGTGGGTGAAGTAGCGGAAAGTGGAAGTGGCCACATAATCTGAAAAAACTGCCAGCTTTCCAACAAAAGCCTTCCATGTGTCAAACATGTCCAAAACAGTTTGACCTGCGCCTTGCAGTTTGAAATTGAGCTCGTTGAGGTGTCCAGTAATATCTGTGAGATACATAAGTTTCACGACCCATTTCTCATCCTCGAGCTCTGGAAAGTCTTGGCCTTTTTTAGCCAGGAAGGCCCTTATGGCATCAAAGCAGCCAACAAACCGCTCCAAAACCTTTCCACAGTTTAGCCACCTAACTGCCGAGTGGAGAGGGAGATCTTTGTATGAGCTGTCCATTTCCTCCAGCAGGGATTGGAACTGTCGGTGTGTCAGAGCAGATCGCTTGACTATGAAGTTAACAATCTTCACCACTGTGGCCACAACCTCGTTAAGATCTGAATTTGACATCTTTGCACAGAGGTTTTCTTGGTGTATTATGCAGTGGAGTCTCATGACGGGGTGACCGACTTGTTTCTCAATTAATGTGACCGCACCCTTGTTTCGCCCGACCATGGCGGGAGCGCCATCTGTTGTCACTGCAAAAATCTTGCTTATGTCAATCCCTCGCTCCTCAAAATGCTCCATAAAAACTTTGGCTATGTCCTCACCTTTTGTTGTTTCAGGCATTGGTTTTAAGCAGCAAAGCTCTACTCTTACAGTCGAATCACAGTATCTTACCATGACTGCCAAGCGTGGTATGTCGTTCACGTCCACGCTCTCATCCAGTGCAACGCTGAATACCGTGGCTTCTTTCAAACCAGCTGTCTGCAGCGCGCAAACGTTTTCTGCCAGTTCCTCGATGCGTCGTTCAACAGATCTGGCTGACACTGGAATTGCTTTTATTCTTGATTTTATTGTCTCTTTGTTTGGTAAGGAATTAAACAAAACCTCTGAGCTACAGAGGAAAGCCTCCTTAATATATTCACCGTCAGTGAATGGCTTTCCATGTTTCGCGATGCAATGAGCAATGCGATAGCTTGCTTCGGTAGAATCATTGTTAGCAGTGGCAAAGGCTTTGAGAGTGTTTGCCTGTTTCCCATAACCAGACATGGCACATTTGATGGATTCAGCCTTGTCTGCCTCATCCTTGAAAGTTGTCTTGTGTTTGGTCTCAAAATGCCGTTTGACACTTGACGTCCGGCAGACAACATTTTCCAGACATAAAGTACACATAGCACGGTCCTTCTGAAACACAAAACCCCACTCTTCTGTCCACGAGGGCTGGAATGTCCGAACATTTATTTTAGATTTCTTAGGTAGCGGACCTGCCATTGTCTACCGGGCCTGCTCCGTCACTGATTAGAACAATCTTTAGGCGGGAGTCGTAAATCAATTTACCGTAAATAACACGTCGCGCATATCTGCCAATTGCTGTGAAAGAGGTCATTTGGCATGCAGATGAGAAAGCACTTCAACATTTTCCCCAAAACAGCTCATTATGGCTACTGCAATTTGTGAAGTGCGTTCCTCCGTGGTGAAACGACCAGCACTACACCACAGTGGAAAGCAGCAGCAAATCGCCTGGAGTTAGAGAGCGGGGCTGCGTTGTGTGCATGGTTTCCTTCTGCACGTAACGGGGAGACGCGCTCTGGCGGCGGTCTCGTTCAGGATCCTAAATTTAAATATTTTGCACACTTATTCCACTTATTCCTAGCGTGCCACTGGTTACGGTTCCGCATGCTAACGATGGCACGCGTGCCAGGGGTTGCCAACCCCTGGTTTAGAGGGGAAAAATGGGAGAAACCTCAGGGAGAGCAACAGAGGAGGGATCCCTCTCCCAGGACGGACAGACGTGCAATAGATGCCGTGTGTAAATCGAAGAGATAATACATTTTACAGCATAGGTAGTCCAAATGTTAGGAAATGCATGTGTCTGTAATAAGAAGATGAATCTACGAAGATGTCAACTACAATCCTGTGGGAGCCTTCAGGGAGGCAGCAAGACGAGACCCAGGCAGGACTATTTCAGTGAAACAAGGCTGTTTTGAACATTTGACAGATTTATGCTTAATTCTCTCAAAAAGATACCGAAAGATACATTTTTCTTTTTAAAAGCTGACCACTACCATGAAAGTACTCTGTTTTATTAGATTTCGTCAAGCATCTGACTCTTAATGGCAGTTTGTCATTTTGAGGCTATTTCAGTGCAACAAGGCTGTTTTGAACATTTGACAGATTTATGCTTAATTCTCTCAAAAAGTTACCGAAAGATACACTTTTCTTTTTAAAAGCTGAAAAGTAGATAATGAAGTACTTTGTGTCAGTAGATTTCGTTAAGAATCTGACTCTTAATGGCAGTTTGTGATTTTGAGGCTATTTCAGTGAAACAAGGCTGTTTTGAAACATTTGACAGATTTATGCTTACATTCTCTGCGAAAGTTACTGAAAGATACACTTTTGTGTTTAAAAGCTGAAAAGTAGATAATGAAGTACTTTGTTTTATTAGATTTCGTCAAGCATCTGACTCTAAATGGCAGTTTGTGATTTTGAGGCTATTTCAGTAAAACAAGGCTGTTTTGAACATTTGACAGATTTATGCTTACATTCTCTGCGAAAGTTACTGAAAGATACACTTTTCTTTTTAAAAGCTGACCACTACCATGAAAGTACTATGTGTCAGTATATTTCGTTAATAATCTGACTCTTAATGGCAGTTTGTGATTTTGAGGCTATTTCAGTGAAACAAGGCTGTTTTGAACATTTGACAGATGTATGCTTAATTCTCTCAAAAAGATACTGAAAGATACACTTTTCTTTTTAAAAGCTGACCCCTACCATGAAAGTACTATGTGTCAGTAGATTTCGTTAAGAATCTGACTCTTAATGGCAGTTTGTGATTTTGAGGCTATTTCAGTGAAACAAGGCTGTTTTGAAACATTTGACAGATTTATGCTTAAATTCTCTGAGAAAGTTACTGAAAGATACACTTTTGTGTATAAAAGCTGAAAAATAGATAATGAAGTACTTTGTATTAGTAGATTTTGTCAAGCATCTGACTCTTAATGGCAGTTTGTGATTTTGAGGCTATTTCAGTGAAACAAGGCTGTTTTGAACATTTGACGGATTTATGCTTAAATTCTCTGAGAAAGTTACTGAAAGATACACTTTTGTGTATAAAAGCTGAAAAGTAGATAATGAAGTAGACTTTGTTTTAGTAGATTTCGTTAAGAATCTGACTCTTAATGGCAGTTTGTGATTTTGAGGCTATTTCAGTGAAACAAGGCCGTTTTGAACATTTGACAGATTTATGCTTAATTCTCTCAGAAAGTTACCGAAAGATACACTTTTCTTTTTAAAAGCTGACCACTACCATGAAGTACTCTGTTTGAGTAGATTTCAGCACACAGGGTCTCTACTGTAAACAGAAAAAACATAACAATTTTAAGTATCTAATAATATACTATCCACATAATATACTAGTTTAACCCCTACCAACAAAAAAAAAACAACATTTAATAATTACATATATATATAAAATAAAATAAAAAGTACTTACCAGAGTTTTTCAAGATCAGATACAGGTCAAGAAAATGCATAGAGGAGGTATGGTGCTGGCTCATTAGCCCTCTCACTCTTCTTAGAATGATCCTGTGCAATTTTTTTAAGTTGAACTCCTATCCCCTTATAAACCAAAATAACAATAGCCCTTAATTAACACTAATCATTTAAAAAACCTTACATCTAATTTAGAGAGGACAACTAAAAGTGTAAGGTGACTGTTTTAAAGTGTTTACAGCTTTTCTTTGTTCACAAGCCCTACAACTAAAGAGAACATCCTTAGTTATCACTATTAAAACCTTAATAAGATCTTTTTAAAATTAATATGAATACCCTCTTTGCAAACAGATACTTCCTTGCATGACATTAGTTATTTATATTTTGATATCACTTAACTATACGTTTAATACATTTAAGTCAAGCTAAGGTACATGTGATGGTAGCTAGTTAGCGCTCTTACCTGTGAGGCCTCCTCCAAACAGCATAATAACCAGACTATCATTAAAACTAAGTACCAGTTATAGATCCTTGACTTTAGACAAACAATTCAAAAGACAAAATGTATTTAAAGACCAATCTTTATTTGAATGTGCCTCTTAACCTGAGATATTAGTTATACAGTAATAGTATTGACAATCTAAAAAAACTGAGCAACTCAACAGTCAACTTTATGTTTCTTATTGTCTAAAGCATTTATTATTTTCATTTCCCCCCTCTCATATTCAGTGTGGACGGATTGAGACAGCATGGTGTCCAGAGAGCTGCAGAGACTTCAGGGAGAAACCTCCGTGTGATGGACGTCCTGTCTGTTGGTTTGGAGAGGACTGAGGGTCTTTCCTCTGCGAGGAGGACCAGGGCTGATGAAGGAGCCCATGCTGGGCAAAGCTGATACCAACTGCACAGGCCTAGTCGGTCACTTTATTTGACTAAATGTGTTTAATACATTTAATAGGTTTACACCTTCTGTCCATATGTGCTTTTTATTTAAAACATTTGATTAACTTTTGGTTCACATTTCAATAAATTGTATTTGTATTTGCACTCCTTTTGTCCATTATTCTTACTGAAAATGTTAGATTACACATTCACATCTGACTGAAGATTGGCCCCATTTATTTGTGACGTTGCAAAACAAGGTACACGTTGTGAAGCTCATAAAGTGAGGCAAATATAAATAATCAGCTGATGGAGTGTAGATGTGGAAATAGCTACATTCGATCAGCTGACTGTTTTTACAATAAAAGTAGTTTCTTAGTGAATGTCCTGTACTGGTCTTAAAATCTCATAACATCAGCTTTTAATGTTCCTCTTGGATGTTCTTCTTGACCCTCAGAGAAGGAGAACATGTCGTGTCTTTCAGGCATGTCCTTTCCTAACAAAAATGACAGGAAACATAAAACATATTATTACAGAACAAGTGTGTTATTTATGAAAGCAGTGTGTTTGTGTGTTTAGGGGCTGTAGATATAATTATTTTGTAATTGTAATGTTTTTTTTTTATTTCAACAATGAGCTACAAAGACAATCAGATTATGAATGAACAGTATGAAGTTCATCAACATTGAAATATATTTTATTATCAAAATAATATTTAACTGTTGTCAAAACGTAGTGCAACTGTAGAAGCTTGCTCTGTTGTCTCACTGAAAGAATAACTTTTACCACGTTTTTTACAGACAATATTGAGAGATAAATAGTAGCAGTTCTCACTATGTGTTAAATATCTTTGCCTTCAATACATTAAATTAGAAAGCTGACAGTCATATTGCTTGTTATCATCTAAATGTAACTTTTTGCATGGAAAAAACCCTCAACTTAACTGATGTGTAGGTGATCTAGTATTTAGTATTGTTTAATGGAATGTATATCAGTGTATTCAAGTCAATACTTCATTCATTTAAACCAATATCTTTCTTGATTCTTTGTACAGTATGAAAAAAGACTCTTTGTACCTGTGCTGAAGTTCACTGCTGTGAGGAGTCCAGTTCTGTCTCTCACTCTCTGGTCCAGCCTGTCTGCATCACCTGGACACCTTAAACAAACAGATATATATGTAAAGTACCATGTGTACAAACAATATAACTGATTCTCTTCTGTTGAACATGTTGGATTGTGTATTGTCCGAGTCAGGGGCCTTTTTATTTTACTGTAACTTTGGAAGTTGTGTTACCAATGCTTACTGTTTATTTGATACCCATTTGGTAATACAATTAATAAAAACAACAAGGTTTGGGTTCGTTCTTCAGATGACTGTGACGTTAACGTGTAAGCTCAATAATGAACTCCAGCTCAACCAACCATATTGTAATATCTAAGTAATCATCTTGAAATATGACATTAATAAATTGTAATATACACACATCTTATTGTGAGGTTGATTTCACATACACTACTTCGACATTAGCTTGTCTACATACTTGAGCATAGCCAATTTAAATTAACCTTAGATGTATACAGTTCTACCTACATAATAAAATATCTCTAAGTTACAAGGATGTAACCTTATTTGATCAACCTCAAACAGAAGCCGTTTGTTCAACAGTATTATCCCACTTAACACTTGTCTATTTCGTTGTAACCTTTATATATAAACAGTGCTGGAATTGGGCCGGTACTCACCGGTACGCAGTACCGGCACTTCTGGTTCTGACCCATGGAGTACCGGCACTTCTTGCTCAGTACCGGCATGCTGGCGGTACTCCGGTACTCATGCACCGTGCCAGTACTCAACACTCTCCCGCCGTTCTTATTATACATCCATATATATATATACA